ATAAGACTCTTTATAGTTTTGTTCTCTGAATCGCTAAGAAGTGAATCTTGTTTGGTAAAAATAGATGTCCGTCTCTTGATGGTTTCAAAACTCTCTGAATGATTTTGCATCTTGGACCTCCTGAACCATTCAGTGCCATAATTTCATGTTGAACAATCACCGTCCAATTATATTTCATTTTCCATTATTTCATAAGAACCTCTTAATTATTCGAACCACTTAATCATCTTGCACAAAATCATTTAGCAATTGCTAAACAACCCTAAAAGTATCACTAACAGATTTTTTAAAATTTTCATTAAAACGAAGGATCAAAATTTTCAAATTCTTAAAAAAAAAATTACATTCAACTCTAACAGCTTCTAAATTTTGGACATCAAAATATTGATTATATGATTAAAATATTCCATACATTTAATAAAATATTATTTCTATCTCATATACATTTAATCTCGATTAGTTGGAATATAATAAAAATATATTTTATTGTTGATGAATATGTGAAGTGTTATTTGTTGTTTTAATCTAAATGCAGAAACATGGTTTTATTTTCTAAATGAATGTTAAAATGAAGCAGCATTTGTTAAGAAATCAAGTGGGATTCAGAGAAAAATTAAGGAGAAAGGGAAGAAATGCTATGATTTAACAATGTTTGGCAAAGATGCCTACCCTTCTGGCAAGGTTAGAGATTTTCATAAATTAATCAAAGCAAGAAGAGGAATATCTTTTTTTTAATCAAAATGGAAGGAACAGTGAAAAAAAATATCAGACATTCTAATTGTGGAACAGATCCAGTATATCATCATCATGACACGAGGTAATCTTGATACAAGATTTTGAATCATGTGTGATCTTAATAGGTTCTCTGTCCCAAAACTCTGAGGAATTTGTTGTATGTTTGACTCTTTCTATTGGATCACCTTTACTTCTAGGAACAAGTTCGACTTTTATGCAAGTACCGCTACCTATGGAAAATGAAATGGTAGTGTGTGTTGACTTCCACCATGAGGTATGCCTCAATGAACTGCAGGATATATATATATAGCACCTGTATACCTCACGCCATATCACCTTGGGAGTTCCATCAGACACCTCCAAAACATCTTCATTTTCCCTACCCATTACGTCCTCGATAGTAATTACATTATATATGTTGCCAAGTGTCCCTTTAACTTTAAAGCATATTAAGAATCCACTGAATTCGTTGTACCAGTTCCTTGGAAGCTCTAACATCAATCTTCTCCTTGCAAAGTCTTCTAATCGAATKTTATCACCATGGAAAGAGAGACTGATGGAGTTATCATAAATGGAATTTCCCTATCATGATGAATATTATTTTGTTTTAGTCTACATATACAAATTAATTAATACTAAAATTCAACAACAAGACATACAGAGTCATACCTGAAGCATGGATTGTACTTTTCTCTCTACATCACCCAATATACAATTCATTGGAAGTGTGATTCTCCACAACCATTTAAGATCTGTTGGAAGATCTAGAAGTTTAAGGTTTTTGCACCTATATGCTCGGAGAACAGCTATGCTTGATGGGAGATCTGGTAATTCTACAAGGTAATAGCAATATGACAGGTTGAGCACTTTGAGACTACAGAGTTGCAAGAGGCTGCAACGCAATCGTGAAAAATCATTTTGTTGTAGATTTAATACTTGTAGGTTGGATAACTCGCAAAAAATAGATGAGATGTCTCCATTTATCCTATCGCACGAGCCAATACCCAACCTTCTTAAGGAAGGTGGAAAACCAAGAAACTTCATGCTTATGATGCCTGGGTGAAGATTCTTGAAGGATGTATCAAATAAATTAAGCACCTCTAAACAACAAGTTACATCAAAAAGGCCCTCTGGTGGTATCTTAAGCTTTTTACAACTAGCGATAGAAAACTTTTTCAAATGTTTTAAGTGATGGAAGTTGCCTTCAATACTCTCTAGACCATTGCAACTTCCCAAATCAAGAGAAAGAAGGTTGGTACAATACTTTCCAAATGACGAGGGTACAACTTTTATTTCAGTTCCCGTCAAAGAAAGCTCTATCATGTTATCCATGTTCATTTGGATCTCCGGGAACACGCAAAGTTGTAAGCACCAAGAGAGAATAAGAGTCTCCAACTTTTTCATCCCTCTGATGGGTGGAAACTTTGTAAGGTTGGTACAATAACTCATATCCACGTAAATAAGCCTTTCATGATATCCAATTGATGGATGAACACCTGTTAACTGGTTACAACGGCTGAGTAGTAATCTTTCAAGACATGGAAGTCCGTAAAAATCTGGTGTCGTGATAAGGTGTTCGGAATGACTGAGGTTGAGCACTTTCAAATTTGGCAGATGCTGTTGTATACAATTACACACAAGTCAACGATGGCAAAATACTTTTTTAGTAGCATAGAGTGTTGAGAAGCTAGGATACACAAAGATAGAAAGTAACTAATACAAATTAATTATATTATTCCAAAAACAAATTAAAATGGGGCATGTATCAAACTCGGGGCAACATCCTCTTCCAATTTTTGCAAAATGTTGGGAAAAAAAACTACCTATTAAAAATACACAATCGGTTTGATATATAAACTAACACAATAAAATCACTTTTTATTACAACGGAATGCTTTAGTCACTACTTTATAATTATTAAGAGCATTTATAATTATGAATAACATTTAGTTCATTTAGGAAACTTAAAACTAAATTAGATTTAAAATAGAACACAAATATCATTGCTTAGTGATTAAAAGCTTATATAAAGTTGCCTAAGGACACCGATATTCAACCACATCAACTTTCTACACTGTAAATTAGTCATATTTAGAATTTATCATCTTCTTTGCCTAATTAGATTAACAATAAGAATTACCTTATAACCCTCCCAAAGTTGCTTTAGAGAGCTCGAACGCAACCGTAGATAAAAAAGGTTCGTTGATTGAAAATTTCCTGACAATGAAGTTGCTGGATACCTATCGCAAGCAAACCACCGAAGTTTCTTCATCTTTGAAACAGCACAAAGAAAAGCCGCCTTCTCTTCCTCCCCTTGCATCCACACATACTCAATTTTTATTGCTTCAATCCTGTCATTTTTCTGTAATTGAGAAACAAAATGTTGTTAGGGTTGATTTAGGCTATATCTTTATGGGTATACATATATCATTAATGGAATATATAACTTATATAGGAGGCTAGCTTAAACATTACAGTCGGCGTAGCACATATTGTTAAAATATCCTCCCGCTTCCAAACCCTGCTGTGTTTTTCTGGATTTCGGGGGTTTTTTCCTCGAACGATGTAGTGTCCCATTTCTTGTATCAGATCATGCATATCAAACCATCCTTCTTTTGACACAGTTATGAGAGCCTTTTGTATCAGCACCCTTGCCCCTATTTTAGGGTGAAAACCACAAGCTTCGAGTATCATCCATCGCTCATCAGGGTTCCTTTTTCCCCTAAAAAAACATGCAATATCTAGGAACAACTCTTTCTCCTTGGCTTTAAGTCCATCATAGCTAATTTTTAGCGTTTCCAATATGTCATCTTCAGGGATATCTTTTAGTCTGGCCAAGGCGCTCACCCACTCACTCTTGTCTTTGTCACAAAGAAGTGAACCCAAAACCTTAACTGCTAACGGGAGCCCACGAGCATAATAAACAACCACATTCGAAAGACTATCATAATCTTCTATACGGTTACCATGCCGAAGTGCATGCTTGCAAAAGAGCTTCATAGCCTCGTCGTGACTTAACAAGCTAATATCATATATCACATTTACTCCATGAGTATTCAGTATATGTTGATCTCTTGTTGTGATTATAATTCTGCTTCCTTCATTAAACCAATTACGTGATCCAGCCAATGCCTCTAGCTGCTTAGCATCATCAACATCATCAAGAACCAACAAGACCTTTTTACGACGAAGCTTACTCTCTATCAACCTGCTTACATCTCCAACTACTTCCTCTTTTTTTTGTTTCAAAACACATGAGAGAATTTCTTTTTGCAATTCTTTCAAACCATGCCTACGTGATTCTTCCCGAACGTTACTCATAAAGTAGAAACCATCGAACTTGCTGGAGATTTGATCATAAACAGCACGTGCAAGAGTAGTCTTACCACCACCACCAAGCCCCCATATTCCAACCATCAGCACACCTTGTGAATCGATTGCTAACTTTGATTTAAAATCTTGCAAGCGATCCTCCATTCCAATCAGGTCTTGATTGTCACTTGGAATTGCCGTACACAATCTTTTTGAAATTTCTTTAACAATATTTTTGATGAATATTGTCTCAGGCCTGGACATTGGATATACAAAGATAATTAAGAGATGCTCTAATTGTGAAAAAAACATTAAACAAGGAAAATGAGTCTAAGGGTCCGTTTACTAAACGTTTACCGGTAAGTGCTTAGTGGGCAATTTTTCTTATCGGATGAAAATGGCAAGGGCCGAAAATCTTACCTGGTAAGAACAATGATAAGGATGAAGAGTTTTACCCGGTAATTGAGGGTGACGACTCTTACTCGGGTAAGCGCTTACAGGGTAAATTGTTATAAGGTTTCGATGTACAACAGTCTTACCCGGTAAAATAAATTATAGTGTTAACTACAGCAACACGTAAGCGCTTACCCGCGTAAGCATTTGGGTAAATGGCACCTAAGTACCTTTCAGATTTCATAAAGGGAAACTGACCAAAATAACCACTTTATTCAACAAAATTCATTTTTAGCTATTTTTTCATCAAAGTTTCCAGAATATCATTAATTCGACAAGTGGTAAAGCCGTAACTTGTGGAATGTACGTTTTTCTACGAACAATAATTAAAAATAAAATAAAAAGAGGTCATTCAACAGTTGGTTTGTGAAGAATTAATTATATTTTAAACATGGGACTTGTCATGAAAGGATTTGGGTTTATCCTTTGGAAGCTTATATGGTACAAGTATAATTGTGAAGAATTAATTATATTTTAAAAATCAAAAAAAATAAGATTACCCATTGGCAACATGTCCAGATAGGTTCCCTGCATCCGCAACTGCCTTTCTCCAGGATTCAACGTTACTCCTCTCTGACTCGTGTTTGGCAAATGCTTCTCCATATTTCCTTTTCTGATTTCGGATTTCCGAGGGATCAACGTGATAAAATATGGGAATAACAATTTGGTCTCTCTCAACCTTGCATTTCATGATATGTTCAAGTTCTTGCAAGCACCAAGAAGAATCCGCATAGTTTTCAGAGAATACAACGACAACAATCTGTGAGTCTTCAATAGCATTCAAAAGCGATGGACGGATGGTTTCGCCCCGAGGAAGTTCTTCGTCATCCTTGAAAGTGCCGATTCCTTGTTGTACAAGAGCTGTGTAAAGATGATCCACAAAGGTGTAGCGAGTGTCTGTACCTCTAAAACTGAGAAAAACGTCATATTTCCAAGAGGTGGGAGGAGTGGAGTGAAAAGACGACGATGAAGATGCCATCGAATGGTTAGTTTGTTTAATATTGAACTACGAAGAGGTTGAAGAAGAGAGATGGATTTGAATTGATGATATGAGATGTGAGACTTCGCGTTTGCTGCACCATATTTTAGAGGAAATTTCTTCCAACTTGTCTATTAATTAAATCAACCATTCTCAGCCTATGGCACGGAATATAAATCATAAATTAATTAATTAAATAAATTCCATGCAAAATTGAATTAATTAATTCGAAATTAAATAAATTAATATAGTATAAATTAATTGATTCAGAATTATATAAATTAATTYCTCAAGTGAAGAAAATCGATTACGATATCTCATATTAAGAGGTTGTCTGTTTACTTACTAATAGTTTCATTAATAGGCATCTTCTGAACTGTTAAGAGATGAATTTTGTTTGACAAAAGAAAAATCTCTCTTAATGGTTTTAAAACTTTCTGAATGATTTTGTATATTGGGTCTCCCTTAATCATTCAGCTTGCACTATATATTGTATATTTTGTTATAAAAAATTACCAAACAATTGTATTTCAGCTTGCACTATATGATTAGAGTCTCTTAATCATTCTGACCACTTAATCATCATGCACCAAACCATTCACCAACTGCAAACAGCCCATGCAAAATTTACATATTCGATTTAAATTAAATTAAATATCAATTCACCGTAATCTATAACCTTATCTGTTTAACAAATAAGTAAATAATCTATTACTTAATTTAAAAAAAAAATTATAGTGATTAAAGTTGAGAAGATCAAACAAGTAAAACACTAACAACTCATGTCTGTTGCTAAAAAGAAGTTAAAAATTACACTATATATTTTAAGCAAGAGTATATGTTGTTTGCCTAACCTTAGGAGCTTACATAGTCTAGACCCCAACCTTCTAAAGGAACACTATATATGTGGTTTCAAGTTCAACACATTTGTTCAAATTTTAGAACTACTAGAGAAGCTTCAATTCAAAATCAAACACCCCCCAAACCTTCTTGACTGTTTATCGCTTGATGTTAACGTCAAATTTTGAACACAAACCCTACAACTCGATGCACATAAACTAGATATAATAAGCCTTCATGCAAAAAAAAACTGATAATTCAAGGTGATAATGTCACCATGATTCCCTCACTACAACAAAATTGGTTTTGTAGGACGCCTAGATAATTGTTTAAGCGTCCTAATAGAATACCTTACAGAACTAGGTTTTATAGGACCAAACTATAAAAATGTCCTAACAGAATACTTTATGAAACTTATTTTTATAGGAGCAAAGTATAAAACGTCCTAATAGAATATTTTTATGGAACTTAGGTTTACAGAACCAAACTATAAAACATCATATCTAAAAGCATTACAATAGGTTTATAGGATGCTTTCAAGCGTTTTAACAAGACTTTTAGAACATTTTTTCAATTAGTATTAGATGAAATAGTTCATTTGACACTTTATTTTAACAGTGTCCTATCTAAAAACATTACAATAGATTTATACCGGTTTATTTAATATTTCTTAGAATTATAATATATATAGGGTTGGGTTCACGTGAGACCAGTCTGTTTTCGTGACCCATGAGACCACATTTTTACACTTGAAACTTCATAGCAAAAACACTGTGAAGGTTTAAAAAAGTCGAACATTCACAGCAAAAATGCTGTGAAGTTTCAAATGTAAATAGGTGGTCTCACGGGTCTCACGAAAACAGGTTGGTCTCATATGATCCCAAGTCTCTATATATATATATATATATATATGTGTGTGTGTGTGTGTGTGTTAAGGCTGCAGGATTCAAGTAGGTTTCAAAGAAACTAAGGAGAAAAGGGAAGTAATGCAAAGGTTTGGAGATGCTCAAAAGCATTTACCTCAAAATTCTGAAAAGACAACTCATAAAGCATAAGTTGTGACTTTTTTATATGGTTTTAAAATCATATAAAGCAATATGTTAGATCTACAACCACAAGTAATATTGCAATAATCTCTCCTAAAAAAACCCGCCTGCTAGATTCTCACGCTCTAAAGAGGTGTTTAGTTAGAGATATTGAACGATAATAAATAAAATTGGAAATAAAAGAAAGTGTTTGATTTTATATAATATAACTTCCTCCAGAAACCCAAATTCTTATTCCAAATTAAACCATATGAATGATTTAGCATTTGTTTGTCTTTTGCACTTGCTTATCTGTTTATCTTTTGCACTAACTATTGATGGCGAAAAAAATAAAACAAAAGAGAAACACAACGGAATCGAATTGCATATGGACCGCAGATACTCACATTAAAATTAAAACCAAAAGAATAGATTCATAAAACAAATTGCTTCGTTCTATTCTCATTGTTAACATATAATCAATTTCTTTGCGACTTTCTTGATCTAAAGGTTAATCCCTTTGAAGAACTATGTGGAAAAGGGTGAATTTAAAGATTTTCTTTGAGAATGAGCTAATGAATTTGTCGGAGTTGCAATACTTCTCCAAATTATTTCATCTCATGTCATGCTATGTAACGGATGCCAAATAAGCTTAAGTTGGAAAGTCTAGCATCACGTTCATTCGTATTATATATTCACAAACAATTTGAAGTGAAGTACACAAATTCTACATTGTTATAACGTCGATCTACTTACAAATTCATGATCATGCTTATATGCAAAATCAATGACATATAATCTTGGTTATTGTTACATGTTGCATTGTTCTAGTCAGGAAGAAAAACAACATTGATAAAATGGCTATACTGATTTTGATTTTCTAGTTTGAAATCATATGTGTACATATGCTTGAAAGATCACTTGAGAAGTTTGAGCAGATAGAAAGTTGATTCTTATACCTATTGGGATGAAGGTCACACATCAACGATATGTATATATTGATATGTATTCCTCTATTGTTGGGGGAATTTGTGAGTTATAATTCTACTGGGAATTCCTCCAACAGTTGAGGAATACAAATTTATATGCACATGTGTGACTCTCATCCCCATAGGTATATAGCATGTTGTCAAATTTCCTACATACACTTTTTTAAATGAAAGCTTCACACAAGGGGTCTCTTATTTTCTATGATACCGTATCCAACAACAAAGTCTGACACTAATAAATATGATATTTGCATACAAAAACAAAACTCAACTTATAAAAATAACCATGGATATTGCAAATAAGCATGAATATAGTTAGTAAGTAGAGCGATGATATAGAAGCATTTGTGCAATTTTTTGCTTCAAGTGCACAAATGCTTCTATAAGTTTATGATTAGAAAAGAAAAACTATACATATCGTTGATGTGTGAATTATTTCTCCATATCTTTTAGGGTGAAGCAGCTTGTGGAAGAGCTAGGTAAAGTGGGAAATTTCATAATATGTCGTATACCTATTGGGATGAGAGTCACACATCAACGATATGCACATGTTGATCTGTATTCCTCAATTGTTGGGGAAATTTGTGAGTTATAATTCTATTGGGATTTTCCCCAACAGTTGAGGTATACAAATTTATATGCACATGTGTGGCTCTCATCCCAATAGGCTTACGAGCAAGAGCAAGAGTCACCATCCTCAGTTACCCTTGGTTAACATTGTTGGTCATGAAAATGGATTGTTGGTAAACGTCTTTGACCTGGTAAAACACTTACCAGGTAAGAGTTTTCTCCCTGATTGACGGGTAAGATTTTTGAGTGATAGGGTAAGTGAGTGACATCCGGTAAGCAGTTACCTGGTAACCATTTGTTAAATGGTCCCTAAGTTGATATATTGTCATATATATTTCCCAAAGCCTGTCTTTATCTTGCATTTAGCAATTTCAGTAATTTGTTACAAATATCTCCTCATCCATTGAGCCAACCTGGTTGCACGCCAAAGGATTTTTATTTATTTATTTTATGTACATATTTTTGTGTGTGTGTGTATATATATATATACTAGAAGCGTACTCACGCAATGCAGCGAGATACATCGTGATTTTAATATTTCATTTTATTCTTTATCTCAGTCGATGTTATAATATGACTTTACGTGATTTTGAGAAAGTGATGATGTTTTATTTTTTAATAAAATATATGTTTGAAGATATAATAAAAATTTGACAAAAATATATCGATATTAGTATCAAATTAACTATTTGAAATTCCTCATTTTTTTGTGTAAATTTTTTAATTCAATTTTTTTATAATTTAATTTATGTACAAGAACGAAGTAATTTATATTTGGTTTAATAATATAATTTTTTTATTCAGATAATAATTATTTATTTTGTTGGAACTCGATAATTATTCTAATTATATTTTAGATTTTTTATATTTTAAAATGAGATGTTCATCCTCTATTTG